AACCCATGGAACAGGTCTCCTCTGTCTTGCAGGACCATTATGGGTTGGACTCAGTTGAAAAGCAATGGGTTTGGGTTTGATCTTTGTGGAAGCAGACGGCTACATCTTTCTGCTGCAGAAGGGCTGGTGGGCTTAAACTACTGGCCTTTTGGTTAGGAGCCAAGCATGTAACCACTGCACCACCAACACACTTAGGATTGCCATGTTGTTATTGTTGTTGTTAAGTGCCATTGAGTCAGGTCTGACTCACAGTGACCCTGTATAGGGTTTCCAAGGAGTGGCTGATGGGTTTGAACTGCTGATCTTGCAGTTAGCAGTCCAGTGCTTATCTTATAGTGGCACATCAGAACTCCTAGGATAGGAGTGGAGAAAAGCAAACATATATCTCCTGTGAAATATGAGTGTCCATGAAACCAGCAAAATTTCTGCTTATAAACTGATCACCACAGGGCAGAAAACAGTGCCTGCTGGAAACGTGTGGAGTGGTCGGCACAAACTGGGATCAATGGTACAACAAGACTTTTCTGAAATTCCTCAGGCCCCTATCCCATGCACAAGATCCCTATAAATCCTCTTTCCTCTCTTTCCATGGGGAGGCAGTCTTTGGAGGACACGCAGCCCCCCATCTCTTATATACCCATATACATTAACCTTGCTTTACCACACTCCTGTCTCCAGGTGTGGCAGGCAACGTGAGACAACATTTGGTGGTATCATAACCAGCCCCCAGAATATTATCTGTCTCCTACAATCTCTTCAGCCCATACTCCCTACCCCAAAATCACCACTATTGACCGATGAAAGATTTCATGAGATGTTAGAGCATTCTGCGAATCTTAGCAGTATAGTCAATCTTTGAACAACTCAGATCTAGGGTTCCAAATCTCCCTTGCAGTTGAAAATCCATGTATAATTTATAGTTGACCCTTGAGCTACATGGATTTGTAGTACGTGGGCCCATTGATAGGTGGTTGGTTTTTCCTGTTGTTACAGCGGTGAGTTCAAGTGTTGCGAGTATCCGCTTACACTGCCCAACGAACTAATTGGACTTTTGATGTGGCGTTGCGGATCAGCACTGGACTATGAACAACAAGGTTGGCAGTTCAAACCTACCAGTTGCTCCTCAAAAAACCCTATAAGTCAGAACTGACATGATGGCACTTTTAACAACAACAACACAAAACTAATCAGGAAAAAATAAAATCCCAGAGGACCCACATCCTCGCAGTTCAAATCTGAGTTTTTCCAGAGTCAACTGTGTCTGATTCATGGGATTCTGTTATACTTTCACTTCCACCGTCGTCTCCATATTTCCTTGAAGTTGTTATTAAGAGCTATCAAGTTGATTCTGACTCATAGCAACCCTATATAGTGTTTCCAAGGAGCATCTGGTGGATTTGAACTGCTGAATTTAGTATTAGCTGTCTGCCACTTTGTCATAGTGTGGTGGCTTGTGAGTTGCTGTGATTCTGGAAGTTATGCCATGGTTATTTTAAATACCAGCAGGGTCACCCATGGTGAACAGGTTTCAGATGAGCTTCCAGACAAAGACAGACTAGAAAGAAGGAGAGACAGACTACTTCTGAATATTTAGTCACTGAAAAACTTATGAATAGCAGTGGAACATTGTCAGATATAGTGCCAGAAGCTGAGCCCCTCAGGTTAGAAGGCACTCAAAATGCCACGGGGGAAGAGCTGCCTCCTCAAAGTAGAGTTGACCGTGATGACGCGAATGGAGTAAAGCCCTCGGGAGCTTCGTATACTGATGGGGCACAACTTAAAATGAAGAGAAACAGCCGTAAACATCCATTAATAATCGGAACATGGAATGCATGAAGTATGAATCTAGGAAAATTGGAAATTGTCAAAAACGAAATGAAACACATAAACGTCGATATCTTAGGCATTAGTGAGTTGAAATGGACTGGTATTGGCCATTTTGAATCTGATGACCACATGGTTTACTATGCAGGGAATGACAAACTGAAAAGGAATGGTGTTGCATTCATTGTCAAAAAGAACATATACAGATCAGTCATGAGGTACAATGCTGTCTGTGATAGGATAATATACCTGCACCTACAGGGAAGACCAGTTAAAAACCACTATTATTCAAATTTACACACCAACCAATAAAACCAGTGAGGATGAAATAGAAGAATTTACCAACTTCTTCAATCTGAAATTGATTAAACATGCAATCAAGAAGTATTGATCATTACTGGTGATTGGAATGTAAAGGTTGGAAACAAAGAGGAAGG